AGACCTCAATGTCACCAAACCCAATGGACATTTTCTAGTCTATTTTACTTGCAGTCTCAGGAACATTTGATATAAATGGCATCTCATCTTTCTTAAAAAGAGGCTTTTCCTTGGCTTCCTTGTCACCACATTCTCCTGGTTTTCTTCTCTTTCTGGACATGTATTTGTAGCCTCATCTGCTATGTTTTCCTACTTTACCTAAACTATAACGTTGAGTTTTTCCCTTGGACCTCTTCTCACTCTCTAATCTTTCCAGACCATCTCAGTTGATTTTCCGTGGCTTCCCTTATTATTACATGCTGGCTATTCTCAAATTTGTATCTCCAGTTTATGCCTCTTTTCTGAGTTCCAGACCAGTATCATCAGCTGCTCACTTTTCATCTCCTTTTATACATCTCACAACTCAAACCCATCAAGTCTGAAACTCATAATTTGCCCCCCAAAAGCTGCTGCTGTCTCAGCACTGCCTGTCTTGGTAAAGGGCACCACCATCCACCAAAGAGCTCAAACCAAAAAAAAATATAGAAGTCATCTTTGGCTTCATCCTCATATCCCAACTGATCTACAAATCCTGCAATAAACATCCTCATGCAAAATTTAAAAAAGAAAAACCTTTCAATTCCTGAGACATATGTTTGTTTAGAAGGTAACATGGTGATTCTTTTCATTTTTCTTTTTATTTTTTATTTTCTTTTGAGACAGAGTCTTACTGTTGCCTAGGCTGGAGTACAGTGAAAGGATCTTAGCTGACTGCAAACTCCCCCTCCCAGGTTCCAGCGATTCTCATGCCTCAGCTTCCCGAGTAGCTGGGATTACAGGCATGTGCTACCATGCCTGGCTAAGTTTTTGTATTTTTAGTCTAGACGGGGTTTCACTATGTTGACCAGGTTGGTCTTGAACTCCTGGCCTGACGTGATCTGCCTGCCTCGGTCTCCCAAAGTGCTGGGATTACAGCCATGAGCCACTGCACCCAGACCATGGAGATTCTTAGATAAACAGCCATGGGCACAAAGTGGGAATTCAATACAAATTTCTGGGTTGAGCAAATGACTTTAGATATGTTCAGATTCAAGATATTATAAGAGGAGATAAGTACTATAGATATACATGTTTTCCTAAATCAGTATGTTTTATCAAATCAAAGAAATATCTGTAAAACTTGATTCACACTGCCTTGGAGAAAACAATTGACAAGAACACACTTATCTATCATCCATTTCTCTCCCTTGAAACACTCAGTGCCATTATTTTTGAAAGGTGATGAATTGCAAATTTTGTCAGTTTTCATACATGGTAAGAACAAAAGGTGCAGTTAAAAAACAAAAAAAAAATCATCTTTCTGTGAAAAGGATGTTACTATTTTTTAAAACATAGAAATTAAGATGAGTAATTTGCTTTCTCATATGTTGATGATGAATAGATTGAAAAAAACTTCATATCATCCATTATGAATTATATTATTTAATATATGTAGTTGAGGATATTTAAGTGGTATAATAAAATGACCTAATTATTTATTTCACAATATTTAAACTGAGGCACAATAGTAACCACTAATTCAAAACTACTCATTCAACAGCCTTCCACACAGAGGCTTATGAGGGAACTGCAGGGTTTATATCAGGCAACAGTGCAGACAGAACTGCAGGCTTTGTTTGGAGCTTTTTGACTTTATCCATGTACACAGGCCAAAAAGCCCACAATATCATTTGAGATCTGTAGAAAATTGTATTTAGACATATCCCATAATGTCCAAATATTTGGATCATGAAGTAGGGAGTAGGTGGGATATTCACCCAAACTTACTTATAGACGGCTATACATTTGAATCTAGTCATTCAGTGTTACCAATGGATAGGACACCCACGCTTCTGAATTAGCTCTGTGATTGTCTATAAAAACTGCTGATTTGAATTTTGACTGCATCCTAGCAAACCAATCCATTTGCTATTGCCTTCTGGGCAAAATGCCTGGGCTTTGTAAATTTGAAAATGAGCTCCTTATTGAAGAGAAAAAATAAACCCCAGGACAATAACTTTCGATTGGTGGTCTCCTCTGGATTCTAACCTTTAAAAGTAGCTTTAAAAGAGTCCATTTTCCACAACAATGATGTTGAGCCCTTGGTTAATTTTAGGAGCATTTTTCATTTGGGGGAAACTTCTGCATTGTGACATCTTTTTTTTTTTTTTTTTTTTTTTTTAAATTTCGGGGGAACTGGGCGCAGTGGCTTACACTTGTAATCCCAATACTTAGGGAGGCCGAGGCGGGTGGATCATGAGGTCAGGCATTCGAGACCAGCCTGACTAACATGGTGAAACCCCGTCTCTGCTAAAAATATGAAAATTAGCTGGGCGTGGTGGCGCTCACCTGTAATCCCAGCTACTCAGGAGGCTGAGGCAGGAGAATTGCTTGAACCCAGGAGGTGGAGGTTGCAGTGGACTGAGATCACGCCACTGCACTCCAGCCTGGGTGGCAGAGCAAGACTCCGTCTCAAAAAAAAAAAAAAAAGAAAAAGAAAAACAAAAGACTCCATCTCAAAAAATATTTTTTTAAATTTAATTTTTGTAGGTGCATAATAGGTATATATATTTATGGGTTACACACAATATTTTTATATAGGCATATAATGTATAATAATCACATCAGGGTAAATGGGGTATCTACCATCTCAAGCATTTATCCTTTCTTTATGTCACAAACCAATCACATTCTTAGTTATTTTAAAATGCACAATTATTGTTGCCTGTAGTTGCCGTTTTGCTATCAAATACTAGGTCTTATTCACTCTATCTAACTATATATATATTTTTTTACCCATTAACCATCCCCCCTATGCTTCCCAGCCTCTGGTAACCATCATTCTACTCTCTATCTCCATGAGTTCAATTGTTTTAAATGTTAGCTCCCACGAATAAGTGACAACATGTGAAATTTGTCTTTCTGTGCCTGGCTTATTTCACTTAACATAATGACCTCCAGTTCCATCTATGTTGTTGCAAATGCCAGGATCCCATTCTTTGTTATGGCTGAATAGTACTCCATGGGTATATGTAACAGTTTCTTTATCCATTCATCTGTTGATGGACACTTAGGTTGCTTCCAAATCTTGGCCATTGTGAATAGTGCTGCAATAAACATAGGAGTGCAGGTATCTCTGATATACTGATTTTCCTTTTTGGGTGTATATACCTAGCAGTGAGATTGCTGGGTCATACGGTATCTCTATTTTTAGTTCTATGAGGAACTTCCATACTGTTCTCCATAGTGGTTATACTAATTTACATTCCCACAAACACGAGGTTCCCTTTTTTTTCCCCACAACCTCGCCAGCATTTGTTATTGCCTGAGCACCTTTTCATATACCTGTTTGTTATTTGTATGTCTTCTTTTGAGAAATGTCTATTCAGATCTTTTGCCCATTTATTACTCAGGCTATTAGTTGATTTTTTTTTGGTTTTTTTTTTTCCTATAGAGTTGTTGGAGCTCCTCATATATTCTGGTTATTAATCCCTTGTCAGATAGATAGTTCCCATTCTGTGGGTTGTCTCTTCACTTTGTTGTTTCCTTTGCTGTGCAGAAGCTTTTTAGCTTAATATGATCCCATTTGTCCATTCTTTTCTTTGGTTGCCTGTACGGTGACAACATCTTAAAGTTGTGAGTTTGGGGATTGCCTGCCTTGTATATTCTTTTCTGTTACCATCATCTTTAATAGCCACAGACAAATGATTGTTGACCCACATGATATCTGCACTAGAAACCCAAAGATTCCCGTCATTATTTTTGTTGATTATATGGAAGCACCCATAAACCAGTGCAAATTCTAAACATAATTACCTTGTCCAGAAGCAGACATTAATGTAAAACATTTATGTCAATAAAGATTTAGCCAAATTCCCCAGATTGGTCATTCCTAGTGAGAGTCCTTGAGACTGCCATCGTTTACTTTGAAAACTGCCCAGCAGGTGTATGAATAGCAACTCCAGGACAATGTAGAACCGTTACCATTTTAAATATAGCAATCCCCCTTTAAAAAAAACTACTGAGGCCTTCGAAGAAACCACCCACGGCTGCCTTGGGCCCCAAAAGCTATGGAAAAGCGCAGTATTCAGTTAAGCAAATAACTACTTCCACTGTTTAATTTGGTTACGGTTCCTTAAGTGAGAAGTAAATCAACTAACAGACAAATGACACGATGGTTAGGCACGAAAGGGACAGTGCTGCCAGCCTCATTAGCTTGGAGCACCCTTCCAGCTCACACCATACGGACTGATGACTAACCTTGCCAGGCAGCGCTGGAGGTTTGGAAACCCACCTCTTTGACTTAGGCCCGGTCAACACCGGTCAACCCTCTGAATCAACGCTGGCGCTCCCAAGCCCACTCATACCGAAGCATTTTCCGAAACAGGCGGGGTGCGGGGGTGGGGGATCCCGTTCCAGCCCCACCCCTGAAAGTTGCTGGGAGTGGCACCCAAAGAACTTTCCCAGATTGATCTCTGTTGCCGCTCGGGGAGGTCAGTTCCAGGCCCTCAGCCTTTCGGCCGGGAGCCAAACTGCCCTGCCTGCCAAGCCCCTCCTTCTCTGCACCTTAAACAGCCGCGAGGGGAGAGTCGGCTGGGATTTTCTTCTTAAGAAGTCGCGCAGGTTTTTCGAGCTCCACTCTGCGCCTGGAGAGCCACGGCAGCAGGAACAGGCACTACTGCCACCGGGCCGACGGGTGAGTCACTGTTTGGAAATGAAGTGGGCGGGCGAGGGTGTGAGAGAATGAATGATGTCAGGAGCGCGCTGGGCGCAGGGTGCAGGGAGCGGGCCGCGCGCGGCGGGCGGGGAGAGCGGGCGCGGGGCCGCGGTCAACACTGAGCGCCGCGCCGTGGGCTGAGTGGGGCGGGGAGACCCAGCCCTCGGCGTGCACGGAGCCGCCTTCGGCCGCTCGGAGCCTGGCCGGTGCTGCAGCGCCGCCGAGTGCGGCCTCGGGGGCGGCGGCCACGGGAGGGACCTGGAGAGCTGCTTCCCCTAGACAGGCCGCGGCGTGGGAGGGCGAGACCCCGAGCAAACTTTCTAGCGGCTTCGGCCCGGGGGTGGTGACGCCCGGACCTGGCCGCGGCGGCTGCGGCAGCGGGCTCCATCCCGTGGCAGATCCCCTTCCCGGGAGCAAGTGCCTTCAGCTGGGAGTGTCTGGAGCCCCGGCTACCAGCGGGTAAGGAGCGCGCGGAGGGGCCAGGAGGAGGATGGGCTGGGGAGCGGCGAGTCCTCTGAAGCGCGGGAGGGGAAAGGTGGATTGCGAAGCGGGGACGTGGCTGTAATCCGGCCCCCACCCTCCCCGCCCAGGGTATCCTTCCTCGATTTTGTGGTCTGGAGGAGAGATGTGTGCCTTAGTCTCCTTCCTCTGAGCAGTCAGCGCATTCATTTGCAACCCATTTCGGGTACCTTGGTCCTGGCGTTGAAAGGGCACAGGTTATAAACCACAGATTGTCCAGAACCACTCTAGAGGTCAGGGCTGAAGTTCAGGTGGTGGAGGAGGGACTGTGTGTGTGTGTGTGGTTTGTTTTTCTTTCTTTCTTTTTTTTTTTTTCTTTTTTGAGAGGCACTTACTGATGATGTGTGAACAGTAACAGCCCAGCTCTTGGGCAGCCCACACCGAAACCCTTCAACGTGTGGCATTTCAGAGCTGCTCCCCTTAGGGAGGGGAAGACTTGGTTTCTCAGCGAAAATAAGGGGCAGTGAACCCCTGTCAACATCCAGTCAGCAGTATGGATAATCATTACTTATCTGCGGCTTGAAACCAACTCAAAATGTTATGTCCTGCAGTCTTTTTTATTAATGTTGCCATTCCTCTATTTCAAGTCTTGCATGCTCTAAAATGACCTTAAAATCATTTTGACGTGTGTGTTATGTTTGAAGAGATTGAACTGTTTAGTGTCACTGGATTCGGCGTGGATTTTGAATCTGTACCTAACTTTTCAAATCCTTGGTTTCATTTCCAGTCTTCTGTATTAACGGTGGGTGCTCAGGTACATTAAACATTCTGAACCAGTAAAATGGGATTATTTCTACTTCAGATAATAAGGTGGATTAAATAAGGATTAATAATGAGGATAATAATGAGGATTAAAGCGCAAAAGACCTCTCATAATGTCTGGTACAAAGCAGACCCCAACAAATTGTAGCTGTTTATATATAAATAATAGTATGTTCCAGCTGGCTTAGCTAATAACCAATTAATTTCCACAGAATGTCCTTCTTATAAGCCTGGTGGGCCGAGGGTTAGCGTGTGAAATGCTGTGGCAAGTTCTTTAGATTGGGAAGTGATGTTTTCAGCAAGTTAAACATTTTAGTACGGATACCTGAGAAGGTTATGGTTTTCATCCTGTGTCATGGGAACTGCCATTTACTGTTTAAACAATGTCAGAGCAATGGCTGAAAGTGACAACCTGGAATTTACAGGAAGAATGTGTAGGAAGCAAACTTTACCTTTACCTTTTTTTCTCTAAAGAAGCAGTGCAAGCAGTGCAAAATGTCCTCTTTATGGCCCTTTCCTTGGTCTTCTGAAATTCTTACTTCACAATAGTCTGGTTGAAGTGGTTTTTTTGTTTTGTTTTTTGTTTTTGGGGTTTTTTTTTTTTTTACAAGTTAATGTTTAATTTGGTTCCTTTGGTTTCATTTTTAAGTAAAGCTGGTTGACTTGTGAATCTAGAGGGAAGCACTTGGACTCCTTGAGGTGGCTGCACCCTGTTCTGAGTTTCTCCCCTCCCAGAATCTTGTAAAAGCCCTAGGAAATGTTTGGAAGAAACTTTAGCACTGTGCACGTGTTATTGAAGACATGCGCTCTTACCATAACTATAACAACTTATAGGGTAGAAGATCTGAGAGCTGTGTTACCATTGTACCGTGTAGTGAGATCGTGGACATGGGAGTCCAGGAGACCTAAGGCTCTCTGAGCTGTGTTCCTTTGAGCAAGTTCACTTAAGCTCTTTGAGATTTTTGTGGGACTTTAAACAAAATACAGGGAAAAAATAGAAATAATCTTAGAACTATTAAAATAGACAATGGAATACCAGTGAGAACTTTCTTTGAAAGTGATACTTTGAGGTGAGATGTTTCTTTTTTGAAGGAATAATTACTGAGAGTTTTGGACAGTTTTAGACTAAACAATGACTTACTCACCTTTAGCGCATTGTCTCAATGGAGAAATTAAAGGCTTTGTCTTGAACTACTAGTACCAGATATTTATTTGCTGAACCTTTAGTATGCAACAACTACATAACAGCCACCGTGCTAGGGGCTAGCAATGCTAACGAAGTTGATAGTTGCTACCCCAAGGCTTACAGTCCAGTAGAGACCTCAGGCTGTGATTATCAAGAGGGGGAAATAGGAGTCAAAAAAGGAGAGTGCTGGGGACTTGGGAAGAGACAAGAAGTGATTAGGCTGTCATAGGCTGCCTCCCACTGATAATAGGAGATCTGGTGGCATTCTGAATGGTCTTGAATAGGGGCTCATAAATTCTTTATGAGGCTGAATAATAAAAGTATGCCTTCTTGCTTTACCCAGTAAAATATTATGGACAAGTGATAGCTCTTCGGTTTAAATAATTTTAAATATTCAAAGCAAGCTTGTTTAAATGAAATCTGAAGGGTCAGCTCAGCTCAACTAAGATATATTTGCTGTGTGACTGGGCGCAGTGGTTCATGCCTGTAATTCCAGCGCTTTGGGAGGCTGAGGCAGGCAGATCTCTTGACGTCAGAAGTTCAAGAGCAGCCTGGCCAATATGGTGAAACTCCATCTCTACTAAAAATACAAAGATTAGCCGGGCATGTTGGTGCTCGCCTGTAGTCCCAGATACTCTGGAGGCTGACGCAGGAGAATCGCTTGAACCCGGGAGGTGGAGGTTGCAGTGAGCTGAGATTCCATCACTGCACTACAGCCTGGGTGACAGAGCTAGACTCTGTCTCAAAACAAAACAAAAAAAGATTTACTTGCTGTGAACAAAACACTGGTAGATTTTTAAGAGGATTATCAGTGCATGAGTATTCCAATTTATTAGTTTTCCCCATATTATAAGTAATGTGTTACTTATGGAAATTTATAAGTATAGGCAAACAAATCAGCCATAATCTCACCACCCAGAAACTCATTTAACATTTATATCTGCTCCCTCTTGATTACGTCTCTACTGGGCTGTAAGCCTTGGGTAGCAACTATCTCCTTCGTTTTTGCCCCTATGCACAGATAACACAAACAGCTAACAAGTATTGATCTTACTATGGGCCAGGCAATGTGACAGTTGCTTTATATATCAAATCTCTTGTAATCCCCACTGCAATCCGGTGAGGTAGGTACTCTTATTACCTTCTCTTACTGAGGATAAAACTGTTTTAGGGAAATTAAGTAACTTTCCTGAAGTTGCACAGCTAAAATTTATCTCTACAAAAATGGGTTCGTTCTCTGTGTTCCACCTTAGGTTTTCTCTCCTCATCCAAACATGGACAACTGTGTGTCACTAACATACTCTCACACAGCATCATTTTTAGTTTTCTGTTACGTGGCTGTGTCTCAAGCAATCCCCAATTGCTGAACACTTGGTTTGTTTCTAGTGTTCACTATTTTAAGCAGCTCTGCTTTAAATCTTTATGGCGATATCTGTCTACACGTTCATGATTATTTCAGTTATTTTGCATTTTTAAAAGTGAAACATAATGTTTAATTTAGCTGCCCTTTTTTCTAAACTGTGTTCAGAATTAGAGAACTGTTCCCTGTCTCTTTAATTTAAAATTCTGGAGTCCTAATTTCTGAGTTCCTTTAGCGTGTCTCATAAGACTTCAGCAATAGGATCAACTTTCTCTGTGGAGCTGCACAGTGGATCAGTAGCTCATTATGCAAGGAATTTATCTGTTGAAAAGGGAACATACAAACTTTCTTAAAGTACTGTTTGCGTTTGTTATTTTTTATTAGCCATGAAGCTAAATGTCTTTTGTGGGGAAGTATAGCAGAATGGAGGGCTGCTCATTTTGCCGAGGAGCTCTCTGAAGGACATTCTACTTCTACAGTTTGATGAAGCATTAGAACCCAGTGAGATAGATGAATGACTTTCAGGTGTTGCATTTAGCAGCCTTATCACTAGCTTTAGAATAAGTGCCATCCATTTTAAATAGGTCACCTATTTTTTAAAACGTTACACATTTGTTGTTTGACATTTTGGGGCTGATTTAATTAAAGTGCGAGAAATTTCCGTTAGTTTATTTTCATTATAAATATAAAGCATTTCTTGAAACATTCTGAAGCTTTACAATAATATCACACCTTTGCTACTCTGAGTCAAAATTTTAGTTTTTCCTTCGGTTTTCTATTTTGATTTCCAGTGTTAATTTATCTTTAAGTTTTTGATAAAGGATGTTAGAATATGAGTAGTGTTCATTTCAGCCACTTCATATGGATACCCAGATCGGTTCACTTTATTAATTTCTAACAATGACTTGTAATTCAAAGCAAAGTTTAAAGAAACAGCTAATAGAATTAAAGTCAAATCAGATGAGTTATTTTATAATTGGTTTTCCCTCTATTGACAAACTCCTATACAATTTGAAATTCAGCCTTATAATTTTGTGTTTATATTTATTTAAATTGATATCTCGCTTAAAACTTTCAAACTAAACTTGTGCACATTTTTTTAAAGAAGAAACTTTAACTGAATTGTTACTTTTATATGTACAGTCTTTTCTTTCACTATACCCCTATTTACTATTTATATTATTATTATTTTACTTTTTTAAATTGAGACAGAGTGTTGCTATGCTGCCCAGGTTGGTCTTGAATGCCTGGACTCAAGCGATCCTCCCACCTCAGCCTTCCAAAGTGCTTGAATAACAGGCATGAGCCACCCTGCTCAGCCACACAATTCCTTTATTTTTCCTTCCAGCTTTTATTTTGGGTGTGCAGGTTTGTTACATGGGTAAATTGTATATCACAGGGGTTTGATGTACATATTATTTTGTCACTCAGATAGTATGGTAACTGATAGGTAGTTTTTCAGTCTTCACCCTCCTCCCATCCTCTACCCTGAAGTAGGCCCCCGTGTCTGTTGTTCCCTTCTTAGGGTCCATGTGTACTCAGTGTTTAGCTCCCGCTTATTTGTGAGAACATTCAGTACTTGGTTTTCCATTCCTGCATTAATTCACTTAGGATAATGGCCTCCAGCTATGT